AAAAAAAAAATCAAAATCCTTGGTATCACCTCAATTATAAAACAAGAAGTATTTAATAATAGAACTAACGATTACATTTTTACAACTATCGCACAACTGTTTAGTTTTGCTTTGATTCCTATAGGGTTATATGGAGGTGCGCACACTACTCGATTTTCGTTGTACAAATAAACAGTTGAGCTGCGAAACAATTGACAATCGCGTTACAGTTCTGAGATAGTTTAGTCAAAGATGTGCGCGCGCTCTGTTTGAATTAGTCACAGCTAAGTGCAAATTATTTGAGAAACTGAGAGGGTTTACGATAATTGATACTCACACGTCCTGTCCCATTTGATCTCGTTGACATTTTACTGGCATCTGTGAATAAATTGCGCTAATAGCTGGCATGCCTATTAACTGGCATGTGTATTTTCGCCATAACATTCTGTAACTCTTTAACAATCCTTTCATCTTTCTATCTGCTTAAAAACGGGTATAAACGTTTCTGTGTGAGTTTTGTAATCTACTTTCTTCTTGTAAATGTAAAATACAACAGTTCACAATACGTTCAAAATTCAATTTTACGATGAACATTGTTGTCGCGAGGTCTGCAACTTTATAGTGATCTAAAAGTTTTACAACTTTCTGTATCGTTTCGTCGCTTGATTTTCTATTGCGGTACACTAAAACTATACAATCGAATAGAATAGATGGCACTGCAATCGATAACAAACATCCAGAGATGGTGCAAAATCTATTTTTAAATCGCTGTATTCTTTGGTTATATTTAAAGCTTGTTATAGACTACATTTTGCTCTCGACTCCGTCCTGAAATAAAAAAAAAAACTTAAGTAGCTTATGTCTTCTACGGAAAATATCTCTACTAAATTTCGTCCAGTTCCGTTCAGACGTTTAGGAGATACGTAAACATACACCCATCAAAACACTCACATTAGTAGAGTATAATTGGAACTTAGTTACCGACCAGTCGTGAATGCCGTCCGTTTGTATCTTAGCTAATTGTTGAATATACATTGCACATCTAACTACGAAATGCCTAAAGAACTTCGTCATTGTGCCGCTGCCGGGTTAGTCCTACGCGGGGTCTGTAGTAAATTCTGTTAAGGGACTCTTGTTTTTAGGTTCTCAATTTTAGGATTTTTTAATTCTGTCAGACAGGCGTGGGAGCGCGGGCCTCGAAATTCACGGGGCCCATAGCATTGGCTACTCTTGCTATATGGCTAATCCTTGTACTGTGTGAATGTGTCCTTTTTACTGTGTAAGTTAAGGAAAACAATTAAATGTGCAAATAAAGGGGAGATAATGAATACAAAGCGTTTATAAGAAAGTGGGTCAATTGAGGGAAAAACGACATACATTAATGTGATCATTAGTTACTTAATTTTCTAAGTATCTTCTTTACTATTTATAGAGATTTCTCTACATGTTTTACACTTCCAGAACTCGGTGGCTCGGTGGCTTAATCTACAGGTCTTGGGTTCGAATCCCGCCGTCTACAAATGTGATATTTGATTTTCCGAATTATCATATGTACATAATTTATTCGCCGTTCTTACGGTGAAGGAAAACATCGTGATGAAACCTGCACATATCGGCGAAGAAATTTAAAGATATGTGTGAAGTCAACCAACCCGCACTTGGCCAGCGTGGTTGACTATATCCTAGTCAGCCCTAAAATAGGCTCCGAGGATGTTTGTTAGATGTGGCCTAAACTGCTGGATGGATCTCAATGAAATTTGGCATACATGTAGAGGATAGTCTGGAAGAACACATATGCTACTTGGTTTCGTTTTTTTTAATACCACGCGGACAAAGTCGGGGATGAAATTTAGTTAACACATATTACAGTCCATTACTCACCATTACAGTAACAGAGACTTAATTGACTGCGCTCACAAACATGTCACTTACGTTGACCCAATTCATGCATGATTTATTAATTCTGAAAACATTGTTTTATGTTGTGAATATTAATGGAAATGTAATATGTATTTAATCATTCTCATGTTTTATCATATTAGAGTCTAAATTACTTTATTGATGTTTATAATGTCTATTTAAATTTCGTGTACATTGTTAAATGTTGGTTATTTTCTGATGTTTAGAGTTTTAAAGTTCTTTTCCCACAAAAAAAATAACGTTTTATTTATTTAATGAATAAAGCCAACATATCACATGAAACAAGTACAGTCTGTTGAAAATAAATATAATTAAATACACATTACCATATTTTTGTTAAAATTAGATAAGAAGGAAGGGATTGAATGTGGATGGCTACAAAGGTAGAGAATACCGAAGAAAGTATGGATGGATTGTGCTTAAGAAAGGAGTGAATTCAGATATGACGGCTGATAGAGATGTATGGAAGAGCAGCACATACTGTGCCGACCCTCCGTAAGGGATAAGGGCAAGTGAATGATGATGAGATAACATAGAATTCTGAAATTTAATTTTAGTTTTTGTGGAGGCATTTTAATCTTTAAATATATCAATATACTGACTGTAAAGTTTAAATTCAATGCATATTATTTTAGTAAAATTTTCATTTTGAATTCATATTTTAAAGTACCAATAAATAATTGTAAAACAATGTTTCTGAAGTCAACAAGCGGAAAATGTCGACAGTACGATTTGAGATTTGAAAGTATTTTGTTGTCAAACTTCTCGCTAACTGAGCAATCCGTATTGTTTACTGTTTCCACACAAATTCTATTAAACCTGATAACATCTGGTTTAGCTTACTTTTATTATTTTAAAAACCTAGTTTGTTAGTATAAAAATTTATGGAAAAGTAGCTTACGCCCGTGACTGCGCAGAATTAAAATATCAAATAGAAGTATGTGTTCTTCTCGACTATGTACTGCATCCGTAGAGCCGTCCGGAGTCTTCTAACCAATATTCATCCATTTTAACTTTTGCATTTATAACATTAGTAAGATATTAAAGATAGAAATTTTAACCAAAAAAGCACACCGAAATATGCTCTCATGTATTTGTTAAAAAAATAGTTACAGTTATTTATAAATTTATTTCTTTCAACATTCTTAAGTTAGGTAATAGTGAGATGCACAAGAGTCTTTTTAATAATCACTAGAAATATTCACTTAAAACTTTGGTAACCACATTTTTAAGTTTTAAGTAATAAATAAGGAACTTCTCTTACTATCAATACTGCACATTAAAGGACTTAAGTAATGAATTTTAGTGCCATAGTTACAGTTCATTTGCTTAAGGAAATATGTGATTATACACTCAATTGCTCTTAGTCATATGTCGCACACACTCGTATTGTAGCCGAGTTTGAGCGCAATCGTAAATTTCACTCGACGTAACAAATGTACGTTAGTTATTTGCTTTCTACTTCAGAAGGCACAACTGACGAATGCTCTGTGTTAAATTCCAGTCAGATTATATTTCATAGTTTGATTGATAGAAAGACCCTTGTCGAAACTAGCGCACCACTGTTGTGTGATTTATAACTGTAAACTGCCGTGGTTTTTACAATTATAATGTCCGTAAGATACGGGTTTCTTACCAAGATTGGGTTGTTTTAGCTCCCGATATTTCGGCACAGTTGTATGCC